CAAATATATTATTATTTGTAACGTATGTAAATAATTGAATGACAATTTGAAATTAGATTGAATTTTGTCCAGCAAAAAGTGCGATGCATGCGCAGTTTTCCGAAAAATGCGCATTTTTCCCATCTCTAGTTGTTAGTTCTTAATGCCGGCCTAAATCCGTCCCATAATTCGGGCCGATCTGCTGAATTTTTGTTTCTCCGCTAATCTATCCATCAATTGAATCGCTCGCGTAACGATCTGCAAACTCGGGGCATACTCGGGACGGTCCTGCCGAAAATCATTCGGCTAATTTTATCAGATGTTTCAGAAATTATAAACTTCCAATTCGGCTTAAATTTAATAAAATTTTAATGCGTACTGAAAAAAATAACAGACTTAAAATCAATGTTTTATAATCTTACATGAAAAAGGCTTCATAATTTTATAATAATAATACATGAAAGATTAGAAGAAAAATTCGGTCTGCGTATCTAAAGTTTAAGTTATTTTTAGGGTTCTGCAAGTGCCGGGCATCGTGCCGTTAAAACATAGTGCCTGGAATTCCTGGCACTATGTTTTAACAACGCCGTGCCGGCACTTGCAGAACCCTAGTTATTTTTATATTTAATTTACATAGTAATACAAAATTCTTGGAATTCCAGAACTCAGTGTTATGGCCTGTCGAGTCGGGATTTTGTGGTAGAACCGGGTTTGAAGCATGATTTTGTATAATAATAATCACTATATCTTTAAAATTATTTGTCGTAGCTGATGCTGAAATTCGAACTTATTTAGATATGAAAGTTTAAAATTTTTTGGGGGTGTTTTGTCCACTTTTTTTTCAGGGTTAGGAAAGGATTTAGGGTTAGAATTGATAATTAGAGTGTACAGTATGTGAATTTTAGCAGAGTTTATATTTCAAATCGAGACTCCAAATTTCAGCATCAGCTGCGACATTATTTAAGGTTTTAAATTATTTGGGTATAATCGAGTAATTGTTCTGGACTGATTATAGAAAAATATAGGCTCAATTTAAAATTGTGTCTTTAGCTAAGACACATGATTATCTACAGTAGCGTATTCCAGGTTGTAATTTATTGAATACGTCTGCCACTAACCACTTCATAATTATTACTACTTTTTTTCATTTCTTGAATATTGATAAATTATTACTAAATTTCATGTCTTTAGAATTTTCTGCTTATAAAAATATCTTTATTCAATGTATATTTATAAATTATACAGTAAATAAATAGAAATAAAATGTTAGATTGTTACATAGAAGTATCTTTATCCAATGTATATTTATAAAAATTATACAGTAAATAAAAATGTTAGATTATTACAACTTAGGCCATTAAGAAATATATAACTTTTTCTATGAATCCTTATGTATGTCTGGCAAATCACGATAATATACATAATATGAGTGCATCTTTCCAAGATCAGTCTTAGGGTTTTCAAGATCATTAGGATTATATTCGTCTTTAATCGTGCTGGTAACACCTTTCTTTGAGGTTTCTCCCTGTTTTGCCCAAGCGTAAAATAAATAAATATTTTTCTTAGGCCACGGATTACGCTGAGGCATCCTCTTCTTGCCAGATTTCATTATATTAGGTAGAGTTAATTTAAAAAGAATGTTCACTTTTTCCTCATTAACAGAGACAAAATCATGTAAGTCTATGTGTCCACTTGTAACATCAAACATTTTATCTCTATGACCTAGCGCAAACATTGGTTTAATATGAAAATCGAAGGTTAAGCCGTCGAAATTTTTATTTTGATCGAGAGCTTCTTTAAGATTATTTTCATTGGCTTGAACTCCATCGATTTTATATTCAGGGAAATACGGTTCCATGTAAGACATAACATCAGTATTATTCTTAGCTTGAGGAGAAGAATCTTTATAGCCTTCATATTTCCATGCGGGAAGCATATTAATTTGAATATCACTCCACTTTGGCCCCCCCATAGGCATTGAACGGTTTTTGACTTTCCCATAAATCGGACCATAATTTTTCACAACAGCGGTATAATCGTGAAGGTCCAAGCCCCTTTTTGTTTTCATGTTCCATTGGTCACAATCTGTAAACATAGGCTTAATATCTCCTAAGTACGTCACTCCATGATTACTATCGATCTTGGTTTGGTCTGATTTTAGTTCTTCATCATTAAGTTTTAGTTCATCAAGAACCCAAGCCGCAAACTTGTAACTATAGCCTTTCTTCCGCAAATCATCGTCATTTTTAAGACCATTATAAATTGCGACACGGTTGTTTTTAACGGCATCTTGGTCAGAAAGTTGTTGGGTAGTAAATAATTTTTTCACGTCAGGTTCATCCAACATACTCTTAATATCGTTCCAAGTCTCGTTACTTTTTGGTCCCTCTTCTTTTGGTGTGGCCATCTTGAAAATTTCACAAAGAAATAGAATAACTTTGTAATTTTTTCATGAGAAATCATCTTAATTATATAATAATCTACGGAAAAATGTTAATTAATATAAATTTGGTAGGATTGGTTTATTTATTTATGGATCCTTCTAAATTTATTTTATGGATCTTTTCGTTTTGTTGACCTAACGTTCACAAAAATATTATTTTGATGTATTATGCAACTTTTACACTAAATCTTTCCCATTCTTCCTCTTTTTCATGTAATTTAACGTTAATGGGTTAGACAAACAAGGTTTGTTCTACCTGTGCGTTAGCGACTATTTTTGTTTATCTTATCTAAATTCAAAAGGGTATCGGCGGACAAAAGTTTGTTTATTTTGTTTGCCTGGGTAACTCATTCATACGTATAAATTTTGAAAATACTTTTTGAAGTCATAAACGTACCGATGCAACATATTATGTATAATTTTTAATGAATTTTAACATGAAACACTGCTTGTTTGTTTATCGGTTTGGGTGAGAAAAAATGTGGCGTGCGTTGATTTTAATTTCTAAATTTATATTTGATTGTAATCTCTAAATTTATATATATTTAGACCTAAGCGGTAAATGTAACCCTAAATGTATAGTCTATGAAAACCCCCTAAATGCATAGTCTATTAAAGATTCTTTGAAAAACTTCCAAATGCATGACTCCATTTGACCCCATATGATATTAATATGATTTCACCTTCCTAAATGCAATACCTTTCTAAATGCGGGCCAATTTTTTTATACGTACGTATAGAATTCTTGACTATGCATTTAGAAGGTTGACTATTGTATGCGTATAAATTTTGCCTTAATCTATTTGAAGCAAATTGTTTTCTCAAAATCATAAAAAGCGTATTGTACTATTAATATTTATCAATTATTGTCTAATGTAATTACGTAACAGAGACTTGTAGTTTACGAATTTTAATCAACGCTAAGCCGGATTATCAAGCCACTATATTCAATCTACATTCACGAGCATATTCTGTAAATAAAATAACTATAAGAGTGTATAAAAAATATGTATCTAATCAAGAATAAGAATAAGAAATACGTAACATTTCATAATACATACCCTGAAGCTATCATCTATTATTGTTTTGGGATTATCATTAAGATCGACTTTTGTCCTGAATTTTAATAACCACTGTGTTATTCTATAGTGGTACGTACGTAACATAATCAGCGTGCATGAGTACAGTGGTACGTACGTAACATAATCAGCGTGCATGAGTACAGTATTATTAATTTCAAAACGCCTATCATTACGCATGTCTTAAAATGTATAAATTGTGGTCTGCATTTTTCTTTAATAAAAACCCCTATTTACAAGTTTATTTATTTATTTTTAATTAAAATGTTTAAGTTACACCACCATAGCTAAATAAGTAGTTAATGTTCGATTTATGAAAAAAAGTAGTCGTTACGTTATAAATACACCACTTGTTCTATATTCGATTAAATTTAGTCGTTACGCTATAAATACATTTTGCTTAAATGTGTTTAAGTTACACTATTTGTTTCTATGCCTTGTTTCTATGCCTTGTTTCTATGCTTAGATGCGTTTAAGTTACACATTACGGCGCATTTGTAAACTACCCCAAAATTTGAAAATTTTGATCACTAATATGTAAATATAGATTTTAACTGAGATAATTAACGTTCCCAAGTTATAATGCGTCATTTTAATAAATTTCTATGTCCAATAAGATGCGTCAGGTGTGGGAAGATGGGTTAGAATAGTTCAAAAAAATTTTTCGGGGTTTACCATTGATTGATTAATATATAGTTTGGTAACTAAAATTAAAATTCGGGGAGTAAATGCTTGGATTTGGTGACCAATTGTCTGCTTAATTCCGCCAATGTGCCGTAATGACTACTCGTTTCTATGCGCAATTAAAATTCAGTCGTTACGTTATAAATCCACACCTGTTTGAAAATAATTGCACGAAATATTTATTTGAAAAAATCAAATCTTAACCACATGATAAACAAATTCAAAAATTGACATGACATAGGATCGATTTTCCGAAATCAATAATCGTCAAAGAAATTATGTTAGAGTTATGTATCATAGGAAGTCATTTTTAAAAGAATTCATCGTTCTAATATTACTTGCAAATGAAAAAACTTCATATAAAGCTACAAACTCATAAAATATACTCAAAAGAATTTATCACATATATTTAGAGAATAGATAAATACGCGTAAAGTGAGGTATGTTATATTTATTACGGATAAACCTTATTAAAGAATCTACAAGACATAAACAATCTCTAATTTGCAGTTGATAAGCCTAAGTACGTATACTAAAAACTGCCTAAATTTAGACATTAATCAGGATCTTATACGTACTGTACTACTAAATATCCTGAACTTATTCAAATTAAACGTTAGCAATAAAATTTATTTAAATCTAAAAAGTAATAAAGCAATTTCACACGGCCAATAAGCGTTGTGTATATTTTGTCTTCTAATCAAAATAAGTCAGACAATCAATAACTTTTAATGGTGATTGTTTATTAGTAAACCGGTATTTTTTTAAAAAGTACTCTGAAGTTTATAAATAAATTACCCGGGCAATTGACTTTACATTAACAAATCAAATGAATTTCGTCCTATTAGCATATGAGGTTTATCACACATTCGTGTTTTCAATAGATTATGCATTTAAGGCGTTTTCAATAAATTATGCATTTAAGGTGGTTTCAATAAAATATGCATTAATGCGTAGACTTGCATCAAGGTGTTTTCAATGTGTACCATAGTCGTACCACAAAAATTTGTCGGTCCTATGATCTCCAAGTAAATCGGTCTCAAAATCAGGCTGAAAGTTAGTGTCGAACGTTAAATAAATTATTCATAAAATATCGATATAATTGTTAAAAACTTTTTCATGATATTTGATCGGGTTAACATATAATAATAATCAACTCGAGATCACAAGACCGGCAAATTTTTGTGGTATGACCATGCAGGCTCAGGGACAGTTCGGCGTGTACCGGCATTCAGCAGGGACAGTTAAATGATTGGCTATCCTGATTCAACGATTTCCGTAAATAGCAATAAATGTAGATCAATTTTAGACTACAATTTATATTATAATTTATATACACGTGA